GTCATTTGTCTCAGACATTTTATCTTGTTTCTGGACATGTGCTGATCTGGTCATCTGTTTTTGCTTTTTGGACATTTTAGTGTTTAGCTGTGGCCTTAATGCTTAATTTAATGTGTGCTTTGGTACTTTTTATGCTTTCTTATTGCCTCCAGGTAGATGTGATCAGGAGGTAAACTTCCATTTTCACTCTTCTTATTGCTTAATTCAGATTAACTTTCACAGGTGTTTTCTGCCTCCCTGGTGTATGGTAGTTAGTATTGGTTCTTGCCTGGATTGTGGATTTATAGAGTGTGATTGTATCTTAACTATTTGGTAGCAATTTCTGTCTCTTCTTGGGTAGTATAGGGATAGACAGAGCACCCTAGAGGTAAAAGGAGAAACAAAAACTACACAGAACTAAAAAGTAACAGAACTAAAAAAATAAGATAACAGCAACAGCAAAATAGCTAGGAAAAAAAACACAAAAATCAAAACAAAAAAACAGATTGGATACTGTAGTCTATAATCACAGAAAAAGGAGAGGAAACAGAGCAGAAAGAAAAAAAAGAAAAAATTTTAAAAATCTGTAGCCTAATATGACTTTAATGTCCTCTTTTAGCTTCTTGCCTTCAAGGCTATCTGATAAATTTCATGATGCCACTGCTGAAGATGCTCTACTTCAGGATTTAATTTTCAGACTGTTTTGTATTTAAGCTCTCTCCCTCTCCACACTCCCTGTTCTGGCCTTTCCCCTATTAATAAACAGTTCAGGGCTGGCAGTGGCCATTTTGAGCTTCCTACTTGTAACTTAGTGGCTATGAATCTCAGGCTGCCAAGCCCAAGGCCAGCAGCTTGAAACAACCAGCTGTTCTGTGGGATAAAGACTAGGCCCTCTGCTCCCGCAAAGATTCACAACCTCAGAAATCCTGTGCAGGGTCACTATGAGTCAGAACTGACTCCAAGGCACTCAACACATGAGAAAGGCAAGTCCCTCTAGATGCTGAGAGGATCTGTGTGCATGCGTGGTGGGAGAACCCTCCAGTTGTGTGTGGGGAGTGTCCACTCACTCAGGCA